AAGATGAACTATGGTTTATTAGTAGTTTGGGGCCCATAATAAAGACATAGTGAGTGGTGCTAAGCTCCTTCTTCAACCTGTACTAGAAAAGATGAACTATGGTTTATTAGTAGTTTGGGGCCCATAATAAAGACATAGGGGTGAGTGGTGCAAATCAGGCTATTGTCATTAAGATTATTAGTAAAAGTTATACTATAGTGGCCAGAGGAGTTCTGGCAGTCACCGTGCCATGCCATAGGGTTTAATCCGACAAGTTGGAATCCACAGTGGCCCTGTGGGGGTAGAAACACACGCATATCCTCTCCTCCATGTTAATAATTCATTGGGTCCTTGAGTCCCATATTCCCCGTTTTTTGTTTTACTAGTATGCTCTTTAATGTTGAATGGGCATGTTCAATAATGGCCTGCCCGTGTGAATTGTAAGAGATTCCCTTAGAATGCTGGATGGACCAAGTCCTGCAAAAGGTGACAAAGGCATGGCTGCTATAAGCAGTCCTATTATTAGTTTTTATCTTGGTTAATATAGCTACAATTGGAAACAGGTCTTATTGAATTCATGTAAAGAAATGTATTGCTATTTATTAAGAACTAGAGGCTTGGTGCATGAAATTTGTGCATGGGTAGGGTCCCTAAGCCTGGCCAGCAATCAGGGTCGATTGGGGCCTTCTGGCTGCCCACTGAGGCTTTCTTCCCAACTGCTGGCCTTCCTTCCCTGGCTGCAGCTGCCAGCTGTGCCCTTCCTTCCCCAGCTGCGACTGCCAGCCAGGGCCTTCCTTCGTTCCACGCCGCCCCCTGGTGGTCAGTGCACGTCATAGTGAGCAATTAAACTCCTGGTCTCCCAGTCGAACTCCTGAGGGGACACTTTGCATATTAGCCTTTTATATATATAGACTAGAGGCCCGGTGCACGAAATTCGTGCACTGGGGGTGGGGGGAATCCCTCAGCCCGGCCTGTGCCCTCTCACAGTCTGGGACCCCTCGCTCCTTACCGCCCGCCTGCTTGCTGCTCCCTACCACTCGGCTCACTGCTCCTCAGTGCTGCCACGGAGGTTCCTGCCACCTCCGCTGCACTCACCAGCCATGAGCCCGGCTTCTGGATGAGCAGTACTCCCCCTGAGGGAACTCATTGTACCTCCAGGCCCTGGTTGGTGTGGATCAGTAGTTAGAGTGTCCTCCCACGCACCAAAGGGTCATGAGTTCGATTCCAGGTGAGGGCACATACACAGGTTGTGGGTTCCATCCCTGTCAGAATGCTTGGGCAACTGATCAATGTTTCTCTTTCTCTTTCCCTCTCCCTTCCTCTCTCTCT